ATTCCTTAGTAATTTAGTTGAGCTGTCAGAAGCTGTCATATTGTGATGGAATGTTTACGAATAAACTTGTCTCCCTGACATTATTCAGTGCTCTTTCCAAGAATTACCTATAGTATCGGCTACTTACTTCCTCGTTCCAGTGGCGCATCTCCTAGGTTATATAATCACATCCTGTCCTGGATTTTACTCTGGGTGTTGCAGCTGCTGCCAGTCTGGTGTGTCCACTAGCTACATCCTTAAAGTGACGATGCACTCCCTGGAAAGATGCCCAGTCATTTTTGAGTACCCTTGTGTGAGTTGGTTTTTTTTTTTTTTTTTTTTTTTTTTTTTTTAGCTTACATCTCTTCTGTTTTGGAACCTCACTGTGCCTCTGCTGCTGCAACCTGCTTCACCCAGTCCATTGCTGCCACTCCAGATATGCTCCACATGATGTTCCTGGTATGCTGTACCTCCCACTCCTGGCATGCTGGCCGAAGGCAATCATCTTCGTATACTCAACCTGACACTCTTGTTCTGGTACATTGTTCTGGTATTTGCCAAACTTTGCTTCTCCAAGCCCTTGCAGCTGTGGACAGCTATTTTTGGTATGCTCCAGTTGCCATACTCTATTCCTCTAAGCCCTTGTGGCTGGACACATCCAAGCATCTCTCTTCAGTTCAGCGCTCCTCTTCCTTCCACTGTCCTATCACATATTTTTGCTATGTCCGCTAGTATCTGGGGAAGTGACCTGGAACTGGAGTCCAAAAAAGTGTTCTCTGGTGAATACCCTCCCATCCCTTAGACACAGCCTTTTGGAGTACCCAGTTGTTGTCAGGGTAGGGCCAGGTTTTGCTTGGTTTGTGAAATAATGAACTCCGCTGATACGCCTATACCACTTCAGGCATTGGCCTGAAAATTGACTTCCAGCAGTTGAAACAAGTCCACATGGTGAGCTTTCTACAGAGCCTGTCCAACCGTCCAGTTAAGTTTCAACAGAATCTTCAGGTGGCATCCCCAACATTGGGCCCATCAAGGGGCCTGCCTTTTATCTCCTTGCATGCTGCCTCCCCCACACTACTCTGGTGTTCATCTGCCTGCAGAGGGCTTCTCAACCAATGTAGCATAAATTTTGAACTGCGACCCAACAACTTCCCCATGGGAACCTCCTCACATCTGACATTGACTGCCTCCTGTTGGCCTTTTAATTGAGCCTGGCTGGACCTTCTCTGTTGCCACTGAACCTCTTTGTTTATGGCAGGACTCCCCTACCATTGGCCAGTATGCAGTACACTTCCTCAGCCTCTCGGAGCCAAGGCCTTAATGGCTTCTTTCTGGCATAGCCTGAATAACAAGATGAAGGATGAATTAGAAATAAGGTCTTTGCCTTCTGACCTGGACGATCTCATTTCCTTTAATACCCAGGTTGACATTTGCTTCCAAAAGGGGCCTCGGAACATTTTTAGCAGCAAAGATCCACACTTTATTGCCACTCCTTGGATTCCTCTCAGGTCACAGATGCACATCCAGGTCCCTCTACCAGTCAAGAGGAACCTATCCAGTTGGACAGAACCCACCTCACGAAAGGTGAATGTCCACAAACACATGCTTAGGGGTTGTGTATCTATTGTGGGGACAAGGGTAATTTCCTCTCCAAATGTCCTTGTTGTCCGGGGAAAACCCTGTGTTTAGTTCTTTTCTGAGCTGGGGTACTAGATGTCTCAAATTCACCTTAACCATACCTTTTTCCTTTCAGATGCCAAGCATTCATTAATTTGGATGCAGCAGGTAACTTCCTGCATCTCAGACCACCTTAATTCCACGCTATCCTCTTTGATGAACTTGGCCTCAGGCCATATCTTCTGGTAGACTGCTCCTCTCCCGCTTTTATACGTTTATAAAACCACATCACACTGGTGCACTTTTGCTTTACTCAAACTGTTGTTTGGCATACTATACTTTATCATGAATAAATATCCCTCCTGATTTTTTTCCCAGATCCTCCATCTCTATAGTTTTGGGACTCCCATGATTGCAGGCTAACTCTCCTTTTCATCATGTAGGCCCTTTACAAAATAATCTAGAGTGGGTGACTGGGGACAAAGAGAAGGCAAATTTATTAAATGCCTTCTTCAGCTCTGTGTATACAAAGGAGCATGGGGGAGCTCTTGTCCATAATGGGCAAAGTATTGACACAGCTCCAGATGCTCTACGTTGGCTTACATTTGATATGATCCAAAAAATATTTAGACAGAATAAAGGTAACTAAAGCACTTGGACCGGATGGCATACACTCATGGGTCCTTTAAAGAATTGAGCTCTGTCATTTCAAAGCCATTGTTTCTAATTTTTAGGGACTCTTTAATGACTGGCATAGTACCACTGGATTGGCGTAAGGCCAATGTGGTGCCAATATTTAAAAAGGGGTCAAAATCTTTACCAAGTAATTATAGACCTGTTAGTTTAACTTCTATAGTTGGGAAGATACTGGAGAGTTTAATAAAATACCACATAGATGAGTTCTTGCTGGAAAAAAATATTTTAAGCAACAGACAGCATGGATTCATGAAAGACAGAAGTTGTCAAACAAATCTGATTTATTTTTATGAGGGGGTGAGCAAAACCTTGGACAGAGGGATGGCGGTGGATATTGTATACTTGGATTTTGCAAAAGCGTTTCACACAGTTCCCCACACACAGCTTATATTTGAGGTAAAGTCTACGGGCTTGGAAAAATCTGTATGTAAATGGATAGAAAACTGGCTAAAAGATCGTATTCAAAGAGTAGTGGTTAATGATTCATACTCTGATTGGTCTAGGATTGTCAGTGGTGTACCCCAAGGCTGAGTGTTTGGACCCTTACTTTTTAATATATTTATAAATGATATAGGGTCTGGGATTAAAAATCCAATATCAGTCTTTGCAGATAAAACCAAGCTGTGCAGTGGAATAATGTCCTTACAGGATGTCTCCAACTTACAAGCCGACCTCAATGCACTGTTTAATTGGACATCTGTGTGGCAAATGAGGTTTACTGTTGATAAATGTAAGGGGCTAAGAATATTCGTGCATCATACATACTAAGGGGGGGTGCAACTGGGGGAATCAATGGTGGAGAAGGATCTGGGAGTTGTGGTAGATCACAAGCTTAATAATGGCATGCAATGCCAAGCTGCGGTTTCTAAAGTGAGAAAAATCCTCTCTTGTATTAAAAAAAGTATAGACTCCAGAGAGAGATATCATTTTACCCCTGTACAAATTGGTAATACCTCATCTGGAATATGCAGTTCAGTTTTGGGCACCAATTCACAAAAAGAACATTGGGGAACTGGAGAAAGTACAGAGAAGGGCAACCAAACTGATACGAGGCATGGAGGAGATCAGCTATGAGGAAAGATTAGAGGAACTGAATTTATTCTCTCTTGAGAAGAGATTAAGGGGGATATGATCAAAATGCATAAATACATCAGTGTTTCATATAGTGAACTCGGTGTAGAGCTATTCACTCTGAGGCCATCACAGAGGACAAGGGGGCACTCTTTACATCTGGAGGAAAAGAGATTTAATCTCCAAACACGGAAAGGTTTCTTCACAGTGAGAGCTGTGAAAATGTGGAATAGACTCCTCAAGAGTTGGTTCTGGCCAGCTCAGTGGATTGCTTTAAAAAAAGGCCTGGATTCTTTCTTAGATACACAGAATATAACTGGATACTAACATTTATAGGTAAAGTTGATCCAGGGAATATCCGATTGCCTCTCGGGGGATCAGGAAGGAATTTTTTTACCCTGCAGAAGCAAATTGGATCATGCTTTGCTGGGGTTTTTTTTTTTACCTACCTATGGATCAACTGTGGGTATAGGATTATAGCTTTTTTTTATTATTATTATTAGTTGAACTGGATGGACTTTTGTCGTTTTTTTTTTTTTTTTTTTTTTTTTTTTTTTTTTTTCAGCCAGACTATGTATCAACTGGAAATGGGGGCAGTTGATTTCTTGGGGTGACTCTCCAACTGTGTATTTAAAGTTGCGCATCCCAGGTCTATTCCATTCCTTCTTACCAAAAACACTCCTACCATCCCTCCCAGGGACATTTTCGGCAAGAAAAGGACAAACCGCCTATCTCTTCATAGGTCCTATAACGGCCAGTTGAAAGAGCTTTGACCTAGAAGAAAGATCCTGTGGTGCTGGCCTCTTAGCCCCACACCTCATTTGCAAATTCCATTAATGCTCCCCTCTGAAGCCCTACTCTAGACCTGTTGAAAGGCACTGTAAGAAGAGGTATATCATAGTGGCTATGTTCCTTCTTCGCTTCAGTGGCACATCTGATGTATACTTCCAGGTGTGATGGAGATTCAGTGCGATTTTTGCTCCATTAAAATTGTTGTTTTAGTACAATCACCAATTGAAAAATGAAGGAAAAAGATTTACGATTTTATAAAAAAGGAAACTTGTGCAGCCCTAAAGACTGGTCACAAAACCGTCAGTGTATATTATTTATTTTTTTCTTTTAAGGTCTTGCATCTCCTGCACAGACTTTAACAAAAGCTGTCTGTGGTTTGTATTTGGGATCTCCATTCATCTCTATGGCAAACAGACGGGTACAAGCTACTGGGCTGTCTATGCAGGTCCTCACATTGAAAAATGTAAATGACGTTTAACATGTAGACACTGGATTTCTATTAGGTAAACTTCAGCAATGCTGATGATCTTGCCTAATCTGGGAAAACTGGTACAATGGCAGAAGGTCATAGAGTACTTTGATTATCAATCTCAAAACTTTCAGTTTTTTTTAATGAGAAACATCTGGTTTGCTGGTACTGAAGACTTTGTTACCCATAGTGATACCTTCCCAAATCTAAAGAAGCAGACCTTTTAGAAATTTGGTCTTTTCTCTTGTACAAAAGGAAGGTGTTAACACAATTGTTACTTCCCTACTGTCTTTGTGTGTCTTAACATCCTGTCTCTCTTGTCTGGTTTGCATCTGTCATAGTAATATTGCTCGTTCTTTTTCTCTTTTTTATACAGAGAAATTCAGCTACTGAGGCGCTTGAGGCATCGCAATGTGATCCAGCTGGTAGATGTTTTATACAATGAAGAAAAGCAAAAGATATATCCTTCTCAGTGTCAGTTTCCTGTTGATAATGAAATTGGTGCCAACTAATGTTTGTGGTTTATTTCCTTGTAAAAGCGATTTTAGGTCTGTCTAGCATAAATGGAAAATGGCTATGATAATGATTTGATAGACTTTTGTCTGAAGAAAACTCTGCCCAAGAATGGCCAAATATCTTCTTGGTAATGTCAGATGAATATGCGTGTCCTCCAACTGCTTGACTGCTCCACAGCTAAGAACTGCTCTGTGTTTTTTGTGTGTTTTTTTTTTTTTAATCCAACAGTGATAGTGGCGCCGGTGTGGTATTTTGACCAGAAGGAAGGATAGGACTTAAACAGTCTTTTGGAAGGTTTTTGTGCGTGATTTGTGAACACCTCTGATTTGAAGAGGTCTTCATTTCCACCCCAAGGGTGCCCAGGTATTGCAAGTATTCCTCTTGTTTTGAGCATTGCAGAGTCAACTGTTCTAATTGAACCTTTATTAAACTTTGGTCACTAAGGCCTGTTCCTCACAGGCTTCAATCTGTATAGGAGTAGTTTGAACAGCACGCTTTTACCAAACATTTGCAGAGCTTTCAGCAAGCTTTGTTGAAGCTTTTAAAGCACCCTTTAGCTTGTAAATGTTGAACACCGATCCTAAAGGGAGTGCTGACTGTCACTTTAAACAAGCTGCTATCAGGTTTCACCACCACTTGAAGTTTATTGAAAGCCTGCTGAAGCTTGCTAGCAGCTTTTTAAAGTGGCAGTCCTCATTCCCTTCAACATCTATGTATACCATTTCCAAATGGACATTCAAGGCTGCTGCTTTAAAGGCATAGAGAAAGCTGCTAGAAGCATTACAAAAGCTTGCTGAAAGTTTCAGAAAAGCTTGCTGTTCACATTGCTCTTACACAAGCTGAAGTCCATGTGAAACAGACCTAAAAACAAAATACCATTTGAAGGATCTTTTTTGAAAAATCTTTGCAACAGTTTGGTGGGCTGCATCCTTTGAGATTCAGACCAGCATTTTCTAAGGATTCCCATAAACATGGCATGATCATTAACTGCTTTAATAAGATTGAATCATGCTCACCATGTCTGTAAGTATCTTAAACACACCCCTAAAGCCCCTTTTACCTGGGGATCTGACCAGAAGCCCCATGCAGCCTTATTGACAGGCAGGTGTAAAAGTGACTTGCGTCTGTTTACACCCATCTATCCCTGGGTTTGTCCAGGTATGGTAAAAAAATAGAAAAGGACTGTCTGCTAGCCACAAACTGGGCACAGACGTGAAAACACTGACATCCATCCAATATGGCTTCAAATTCAGCAGGGAATCTGCTCACAGAGCCCCCGCTGAGCAGAGTAGGCTCTGCTTCACATGAAAAGAGCCTGTTTTCGGTGAAATGCTTTCAGTTGGGCCAGTCAGATATGTGGGATCCATCAGACTTCCATGTACGACTGGCTTTAGCCATACAAAAGCTGGTGAGAGGCATCTTTTGTTCTCAAGAGCTTTATTGTAGTGGTTGTGCCATATTTTTCCCAGCACCTCCAGAAGAGTGAGTTCTACCAAGCAGTAACCTGTGGTTTCCTGAGAAGAAATTTTGTCCCTATTGGGCCCCTTTCACATGGCCTTTTTGATCGGTCCGCCTGCCTGCGTTTTAGGCAGACCCTATCAGAAACTCTATTCTCCTGTATGGAGCAGCGGGTGTAAACGGATGTGTCCATTTACACCCACCGACATCCATTCCGATCCACCAAAAAGAGATGGATGGGGATCCGTTCCCCCTTCCATCCATCGGATGGGATGGCAGTTGGATTTGCATCCGACTTCCCATAGAGGGCAGTGAGCTGTGTCTGTGTCACCAGAGTGGAAACGGACCTGTCATCCGCTTGCTCAGTGGAGATCAGCCCCCCCCCCCCGGTCACACTGGAACGCTGGGCTGTGGAGGGGATGGGAGAGGCTGGCTCAGGCTCTCCGTAACTTGCTGAGAGGCTGAGTGAGGTGCCGGCCCAGGCTCTTGGATAGATCCCGACCATATGGTCGTGATCCTTCACCCAGCCTGGACCAGACCTGACTTTAGCCCGCTGTCAGCTGAGAACAGGTCACAGGAGCGCAGAACAAACTCCACTCCTCTGATTCACAGAAGTACAGCCAAATGAGCTAGTGAAAAATGTCAGTGCTACATTTTTACAAATAACCTGACTTCCTGAACCTCCCTTTAAAGGACCACTACCCAAATAATGAGGCAACATATCTCCTTTTCAGGACCCGTCCCTAGCGTCCTGTACAATAGCCATGTAAAAAAGATCAGCTAAATGTAAAAAATCTTTTTATAATGTGTTTTAAAAAACCTTGTTTTTATCTATAGCTTCCATATATACAAGGGGCAGACATATATGCTGATTACATAAGCAGTCTCATCTTCCTGTGGACTCTGCATTTCTTATGATCAGCCAATACACTTAGCAGTCAGAGACCAAATCACTATAGCCTAGGCAGTAAGGAACATGTTCTGAATCAAGACGGTATCTCAAATAAACATTTAAACCTATCCCCTGAAAGCATAGAAGTCTACTTTCACCCTTGAAAGTGTAATAAATGATAATACCTCAATATGCTCACCCTATAGCCAAAGCAAACAACTGCTAAACTAAATAAACTATGCATGAAGGTATAAATCAATTGAATCAAGTACATATAATATAATATAAATGCAGTGTTCAAAATTAATATTATAAACGCAGTGTCCAAAATACCAAGTGTCCAAAAATATTAAAGTCACACACTAAAGATGCAAATCCAAGTCCTTTCTGCATACTCTTTCCCAAAAAGACTCCAGACTCCAAAGTGATCCTCAAAAGAAACTAAAATAGTGTATTATCCTTAAAACAATAATGTACAATCATATACAACATAAGTGTCACTCCACATCAAACATGACCATATATGTGAATCTAGTGCTCGACGTGAAAAAACGTGCTAGTGAAACACTCTGGTGATCCAGCAAATCAAATAATCAAAGTGCTAGTAGTAGTGCACACTTCTATAGTGTAATGACTGAATACCCTTACCAGATGGCAAAAGAAACAGCACTTTAATACCACTAAGGGTATACACCAGGGTTCCTCAAACTGCGGCCTGCCGAGGCCATTCATCTGGCCCGCCGGCAGGGGCGTATTTTCTGCAAGGAAGGGACACTAAGTACAGTGGTGGGCAGGGGGCTGCTGTACCTTACCTGGCTGCGGTCCCAGTCCCACGACGATCCAGTCCAGGAAGCGCTGCTCCTTCATTCACTCCGGCCACTCCCTCACTCCTGCCGCTTGGCTCCGCCTCCTCACCGGTGATTGGGTGCCAGAACTGTAGCTCAGGAAAGGCACACAGGCGGCCAATCACCTGCGAGGAGGCGGAGCCTTATGAGTAAGTCCCTGAGACGAAACGTCAAGGAAGTGATGTCCGACACACCGAAGGAGCCAGAAGTGGCAAATTGGCCATTTTGGAAATTGGAAAATCTGACCCAGACACTTCTGCTAGCTGCTGAGACTCTGCAAGAGGTTTAACATGTAGTGTTCTCTTATTCAGACACTTCTGCTAGCTGTTAAGACTCTGCATGGGGTTTTTTGGATTAAGAAATCTTATCCAGATGCTCTGGTCTATTGCTGAGACTCTGCATTAAGGTTTGGAGATAAGAAATCACATCCAGATGCTTCTTATAGCTGCTGAGCTCTACAAGAAGTTTGGGTTATGAGAGCTATGGTGCTATTTATCTGTTTTTAAAAGTAAGAGCATAATAAAGTGTTATTTATTTATACCATACAGAATTACACTATATATCCTTTTTATATACGATGGGTACTATGGAGTAATCTTGCTCAAGGTCCTGATGACAGCTAGGAGCATTATCCATGAGGCTATGAGGACATCTCAAGGAACATATCCAGGCTGGATTAGCTTTCCTTGGATGGTGTATACCCTTAGTGGTATTAAAGTGCTGTTTCTTTTGCCATCTGGTAAGGGTAGTCAGTCATTACACTATAGAAGTGTGCACTATGATTTTGATTTGTTGGATTTTTTGATTTGTTGGATCACCAGAGTGTTACACTAGAACCGTTTTTTCACGTCGAGCACTTGATTCACATATATGGTCATGTTTGATGTGGAGTGACAATTATGTTGTATATGATTGTACATTATTGTTTTAGGGATAATACACTATTTTAGTTTTTTTTTTTTTGAGGATGAGTTTTTTGAGTCTTTTTGGAAAGTGTCTGCAGAAAGGACTTGGGTTTGCATTTTTAGTGTGTGACTTAAATATTTTTGGACACTTGGTATTTTGGACACTGTGTTTATAATATTTATTTTTGGACACTGCGTTTATATTAATCTTGAACACTGCGTTTATATTATATGTACTTGATGCAATTGATTTATACCTATGGTATTTTGGACACTGCGTTCATAATATTTATTTTTGGACACTGTGTTATATATAATTTTTTTTTTTTTTTTGACACTGGGTTTATATTATTATATGCACTTGATTCAATTGATTTATACTTTTTTTTTTTTTTTTTTTTTTTTTTTTTTTTTTTTTTTATGCATAGTTTATTTAGTTTAGCACTTGTTTGATTTGTCTATAGGATGAGCATATTGAGGTATTATCATCAGTGAGGAACATGTTGGTGCTCATCAAATGTGCAGCATTTTCCCATTCAGGACAAGCAGGAGGTAAGACGTGTATCCTAATAATTCATTTGTGAGTTTTTATGCATAGGTCCACCAAAAGTAATCATGTTGTGATACAAAATACAGGTCCTGCTGTTTCTTATGTTAAAGTGGACCTTTCACTATAAGGCCCCTTTCACACTGATGGTCTGATTGGGTCCGCCTGTCAGTTTTTCAGGCAGACCCGATCAGACCATTCATAGACCTCTATGGATTGGCGGGTGTCAGTGGACAAGTGTCCGCTGAAACCCGCTGGCATCCAAAGTGATCCTGTACGCCAAAAACAGACTGATGGGGATCAGTTCCCCATCCATGTGGCAGACAGATGGAAACGGACAGGCGGTCTGTTGCCATCCGACCGCCCCATAGTAGAAGACAACAGGCTGTGTCTGTGTTTGCTATGCAGCAGCGGAGCGGACACAGACCTCTCATCCACCTGCTCAGTGGAGATCAGCGGAGAGATCCTCCGCTGAGCAGGCGGATCCACTGATGGGTCCGCCCCTTCTGAAAGGGGCCTTTTTATTACAGCTCTGTGCTGATATCAAATCATCTTACATTCATTAGTTAAACATTTTTTGCTTTTACTTACAATTTACTGTTTTTCCACTTCCTGATTTCTTTAAGGCACTGGTGGTATCACCCTGGGCTTACATCTGCATCCTGGGAAATTCCTGCCACATGTTCCAGGAGGCAGCCTCAGAGGTCTAGACAGAGTTCCAGGAAGTAAAGTTAGGTGAATTAAAAGATAAGTTCACCTTTTTCTAACCTGCTACATGTTATACCCATATTCAGGGTGTAACATGTAATATGCCCCCGTGCCCCCCAAGTTCCCATTGTGACAGCAGACTGGGCATCTTCTCCCTGTGTCTGCTGTCACAATTCAAAAAAGGCGTAGCTGTGCAGGGCATCACCTTTTGCGCCTGACGGCTTGTAGGTCTCAATGAACTACCACGGCGCTGTTGAGTACTGTTGTAATTCATGCTCTCTTTCTGTCTGAGTATATCTGCCTGCTCGTACGAGGTATGAGCACACAGATATACAGACAGGTTTGCAGGAGTTCTGGATGGCACCCATGATCCGATTGCGGGTGCAATCCTTTTTAGGCTCCTAGTGTAAAAAAAAAAAAAAAAAAAAAAAATTAAAAAATGCACATTTAATGCACCTTTTAATCTACCATTTTAGTGAAAATGGGGAGGAAAAGGAAAAAAGTTATGCAAAGAATGGAAAGCCTGCAATACTTATGTGCTTGGAGATGGCAGTTACTAAACATTTTCTAAAGGAGCCTTTTTGTTACTTTTTATAATAAAGGGGAAGTTCCTTTTTTAAAGAAACTGTCATGAGAGAAGTGCATGGGCTGCCATTGCTGGCCTTATTCTGACCCTGCTAGTTACCTGTCTGTCTCTTACCTCAGTATTTTTGAAGCACTTACCTGGAACATGCATGTTTTAAATGAGTGTCAGAAAAGTGTTATCATTCGATGCTTCAACATTTGTTTTGAGTTCATTGACTCAAAATTCATTGAAGCCAGTGAATTATCATGACAACCATGAGTCCCTTTAAAGTAAAACTCAGATTCTCAAAATTTTAGATATTCTTTATCTACCAGCTTCACAGTTTAGTGAGACACTAACCAGGACAAGTAGTAAGTAGAACTGAAATTATGGTAAGTAGCGTTGAAATTATGACTTGTGTAAAACTGGTTAATAACCAAGTTATTTAAGATCCTTTGACCAAACCAGTCATTGAATCATGCTATCAACATGTTTGTTGTAAAGGGCTCATAGCAATAAGAATAACTTGCAGTTCAAAGGTACCCTTAAGCAGCTGTCACACCTGCTGATCTTTTATCTCAAATAGGAGAATACTTTAGGGACCATCACATGTCAGAATGGGCTTGCATTTTTGGTCTGCAGATGAGTGGATCAGCTCTGTTATGCAATGCGCACTGCAGTAATATTTTATTAGCAGTAAATATTAGAAGGAAAACACAGCTGAGACAGTAGAAATTCTAAGTTCTTCCAGGAAAGGTTAGTCATTGATTACTTTGAAACTATGTTGATCCTTAATTTTGAATATACGTATATGGTTATGGAGTACTGTGTGTGTGGAATGCAGGAAATGCTGGATAGTGTACCAGAGAAGAAATTTCCTATCTTTCAGGCGCATGGGTAAGTCCTTCTTGTTCTCTAATATATTTTTTACTGATCATTCCAGTATGTTCTGATACCACTCTTGGGTTTTCTGTAAGAATTTAAAGGATAAGGTCTCCCTAAAAACGTTACACCCGTATTTAGGGAGGTAACTTGTTCAGCAACCCCACTTCGCCCCTTCACCCCCTTCCCTATAATAGTGGGCGAGGTTCTTCATCCCCCCCGCAGCCGCTGACACATTTTAAGCTTTGCGTGGCCATGCAGGCCTCCGCCCAGTCACATCAATCATTCACCTGAATATGTGAATGAATAAACTACAATTCCCATCTACCATTGTGGCAGACAGACTTGTAGTTTTAATGGACCATGAGCGTGCTGAGCAGCACCCTCATAGCCCATTCACACTTCTTACAGCTTTCAAGCTGAAAACATGCACAGAGGTGCAAGCAGAAAACTGGAGGGAGAGGATGTGGGTGCAATACTTTGCAGGCTGCTGTAGAAGAAAAATAACAAATGCGCTTTTTTAACCTGTGCTTTTATTTATTTAAATTTTTTTGTTAAAGGTGAACTTAGCCTTTTACATAAATCTATGCTTCGGCCCATGCAAAGCAACAGGTTCTTTATAATGCAGACTTTCCCAGCAAAACATACTTGTTTTTCTCCATTGAGATTCCAGGCGTGAAACGAAAGGCCTGTGTTCCTCTATTACAGTGCTGGTATTTCCTTTGGTTCCTTGTGTTGGAACAAAGGAAAGGTAACTGTTGGATATATTGCTGGAGTTGGAGGCTTATTACAAACCTGAGCAAAATAGAGGCATGCTTTGAGAAGAATACATCTGTGCACAACTACCAGTTAGATTTTTGAACAGAGAGTGGGGAAAGTTTGTATACAATTTTACAATAATATCCAACCCATACTTTGCTGAGAAGAAATAAATGAAGTCCATCTAAAACAAACTTATTAGGAAGGTGAGATTAAAGTATTAGCCAACCTGAGCAATTCAAATTGGTCATGTGTTGAAAACCATACATGAGCAAAAGTTGCTTTTTGATGAAAGGTTGGAGGCTGAAGCTATATGCAGATATCAACTTTTTTTTTATCGACCATTGAGTGCCACATCCTTTTATGCTCATGAACCTTGAGTTGTGTTGCCAACTGCAGGAGATTTAACACCAGGCACATATCCTCTGTGACGTTTGGTTACTAGCCACCATATCCTGGCAGGAGTTTATTGCCCTTCCCATTGAGGTTGTTCTCAAGTTAAAGTTGAAGGATTACCCTTCCTGATTATGGGTTCCCTTCTTCATATGCAGACATTGCTTGTATCTGGCATCTATCATTGGGTTGCTCCTTGAATGCAGGAGGATTTTGGCTGTCTTTGAACTTCTACCTGCTGAGGAGTGGTTCTGAAGGGTTTTACTCCAACCTGTTCACTGATCCAAAGGGACCCCTATCCTGGACCTCTGAGCCTTGAATGCTTCATTTAGGTGCACAAAGTCTGAATGGAATTGACCATACCTGCCATTGCATTCTTCATGGAGGACTTTCTGGCTTCTGTGGACATAAAAGATGCTTACTTTCATGTGCCTGTCTTTCTAATGCACCAGCATTGTCTGTAGGGTCTCTGTACTAACAGTTGTTTGCTCTGCCATTTAGCCTATCTTCGGCACCTTTTGTATTCACCAAAGTGCTGGCTCCACTGTTGGCCATGCTGTGCTCTCTTGGCATCCCCATTGTGAGATACTTGAGAGTTTTATACTTGGGGATTTACTTGCATGCACTGAATTCCAGCAGCAAATCTCAGCAGATTCTTTTGGCTGGAATGACATGTGCATTCGATGACTGGATAAATGTTGTTCAAAAATGTAGTTTGAATTGAGAGTAAATGCTCTTTCTCAATTGAAAACCAAATACACTGTTAGAAATTTGTTTGTTTAAAGAAGAAAAAAAATTCCATCCTGCTTCGTTGAATTTTCTTGTCACTGTGGTTGAAATCAAACCTTGATTTGACCTCCACTAACTGTTAGAAAATTGTGTGGATGTGGTTTGGCCTGTGTGCATCTACCTCTTAGTCACTGCTTCTTTTTAGAAAGTCTGATACCCTTACTGTCATTCTGAATGAGCCCGGAAGGGTGCCACGGATTAATGTCACATCATCTCTAGCTGGAAAGACAGACCAGTTCAAGCATATGGTCCCAAGAACTGGGTTACCCATCATTCCTGTTAAGGCTCACCTCACTAGGTCTGTGAGAGTCTCTTGGGCTTTTAGGCATCAAGCAACTGTTTCCCAGATTTGTAACACTGCCACCTGGTTTTCTTTTCACACGTTCTGTAAGCTGTACCAGATGGACATTTCTGGCTCATCAGATATTAATTTTGGGCACAAAAAACCTTAAGGGCTGGTTCACACTACATCCGTTCCAAAGCATTTTTTTTTTTTCATCCAAAATTCACAGAAAGTAGGTTACATGGTTGTCAATTTCATGGTTCACACCAGTGCTTGCAGTTCCAGTGCGTTCCAGAAAAAAAAAGTAGAACATGCTGCATTTTTCCTACAGAGAACTGTATTGGAACCCTGTAATACACTTCAAAATTGCACTGGAACACATTTAAAAATGCACTGGACTCCAAGTGACCCAAAAAAGAAAGGGGGGGGAAAAAAAGCGTCTGGAATGCAATAACAACGCATATGCAGAAACGCATCCAGACTGCATTTCTATGATGTGAACCGGCCCTTAGGCAGACTCCTTGAGCCATTGCTGTGTTTCACCTGTTGGATCACATTCTGTCTCTAGAGCAGTGATCCCAAGGAAAAGTAAAACACAGGGTCAACACAGTCAAAATGATAGGGATTGTAATAATTTCCTACTCCAAAACTTAAAAAGGGAAAAAAAAAATTGGCTATACATACTTTCAAATTTATGTTTATTTTCCTGGTCACCATTATCTATTTTTTAGCTAAGCGATTCTGTACATTACATTATTTGTGCTTTTATTTATGCTTTTTATTATATGTAGTTATTTGATTCTATGACATTCTCTTTCTTTATCTTTCAGTTATTTCTGCCAGCTTGTGGATGGTCTGGAGTATCTTCATAGTCAGGGAATTGTCCATAAAGACATCAAACCTGGGAACTTGCTGCTCACAACAGACAGGACGCTCAAAATCTCAGATCTAGGTGTTGCAGAGGTAGGTTGTGAGAGATCAGGGGGTTACTCCTAGCATAAGCCACTCCAGCAGTGGGGTAAGGCAATATGGGGTCACCTCCTTTCTCTCCACAGGCCTTACACCCGTTTGCTGAGGGTGACACGTGCAAGACCAGCCAGGGGTCTCCTGCTTTCCAGCCTCCAGAGATTGCGAATGGACTGGACACCTTCTCAGGGTTCAAAGTGGATATCTGGTCAGCAGGCGTGACCTTGTGAGTGTGCAGTTACCCGTGGACAACCCATACATATACCATTCACCACTCATTTTATTTACAAATATCTTTATTAAGAAATGGCTTTGTTTAAACATCAGCCTTATTGTTGATAGAATATTAGTTGTTGAATCGCTTAAAGAACTACTAAAGTTTTTAACCTCTGTGTCTATTTGCACAGGTATAATATCACTACTGGGCTGTACCCCTTTGAAGGGGATAATATATACAAACTGTTTGAAAATATTGGAAAGGGAGACTACTCAATACCTGAGGAGTGCGGGCCACTACTTTCTGACCTGCTGGGAGGTGAGACTTTACTATATAAGAACAATTTCTTTCCTTCCAAGAAACCTAGCATACAGATAAAAGTAAGCAGAATCTTGTTATATGCAACATTTATGGTGTATTACAACAAATGGGGCCTTGGATATTCATGCTGAAGATTACTAGGATTACCAATTAGATTTGTGGTTTGTCATTTTTATACTCTATACTATTTTTTTTTTTTTTTTTTTTGGAGCAAATGCATATTGGCAATGAAATGGTACTTGTACAGTGTATATAAAAGTTATTAGTGCCTATAATTAATACACCAAAATTCCTACAATAGTCTTTAAAGATAAAGTTCACCTTTTAACAAAAAGGAACAAATGCACATTTTTTTGCAGGTAAAAAAAATGTGCAATCACTTTTTTGTTTTAGGAGCCTGGAAAGCATTGCACCAGTGACCAGCAGATTGGTGCCATGCAGGTCTCCTGCAGCCTGTCAGTGTTATCTGTCTGCCCATACAGCGCCATGGTAGTTCATTGGGAACTACAAGCTGACAATTGCAAAGGCTGTCAGTACTTGCCGTTTTTTGATTCACAGGGATCTGTGAATCAATGATGTGGTCGTGTGGGCAGAGCCACGCATGGCCACGCTCTTTTTAAAATATGGCTGCCGAAAGGAGGGGGATCAAGGGGAGAGGTGTCTGATGCTGAATATATTGCACTCTAAACATGAGTGTAACATTTTCAGAAAGGTGAACTTATCCTTTACGAAGGTGCGTGTGTGTGCGTATGACATACGCAGGTTCAGTGATTGCTAAATTGGTTGGATCTTGATATTTTAAGTTGTACAAGAAAAAGGGTTGATCCAGGGCCCATAATTGAGCTTAACTGGAAGCCAGCTATGATTCTTCTTCCTTTTTTTTTTTTTTTTTTCTTTTTTTTTTTTTATGTTTAGTATGTTGGCATAATTTTGTGTTTTTTATAGGATATCTCCAGGCAAAACATGCCATTTTATTTTGTTTGCATCTTGTTTTCATACTCTTGAAACATTAGCAGGAAATGAAGCCTGCCTCAGACAACGTCACGCTTCATTCTTTTTTCCACCTCGTAACTGGCTTTCTGCCTCTCCTAGAAGTCTGCAGAGAGTTTACTTGAAGTTTAGTTGCAATTGACTACACTAGGCGTTTCATATTTTTATATATGGTAAGATATTTGCCAATACCAGCTCCTGGATTTTTTCATTACTGAAACTGCCTATATGATTGTAGTAAAGGTATACTTTCCTTTTTAGAATCCCCTTTTAGCAAGCACTTTATTTTCAGAAATGGCCCTTCTCATTATCTGCAGAACAGAAGCTGGTAAAGATTTGCAATTAAATCTGCTGAAAAAAATGTAATGTTTGTAATATGTAATGGTGACATTTTACAGAATGTGAGGAAGGCTGGGCATCATAGAGATCTAACTGGAATTGTGTGAGAAGGTGGGGCTTATTGATAAGCTTGAATGCTGCCTGGATGTGTCTGAGATTTTTCTGTAATAACAGGCTTCCTTTTGGCCATGACAGAAGTATATGCAATCACCATTAGATGGCTGCACTTCACACTTTGTAACGGTTTACTCTTCACTACTCGTGACAGTGTATCTTTTAAGTGTGCAGACGTTTATGAGCACCTATAGTAATCTATCATTTATTAGAGAGCCTGGCTGTATTCTATATGTCATTGGCCAACTGAGAGGGACACCTATGACGTTTAGCATGCCCTTGGCTGTCAGTGTTAAAAGCGAGAGGGTGACATGGAAAACCTACAATGTATTGTAAGGCATGCGGTGCATGCACTTGTGATAAAGTCCAAGAGTACTGTGTATTACACAGTACACATGTTACAATCCAATTGTATAATCAAGGTTTTAGCAAATGTGGTAAAGTCCAAGGGTACTGAGTAAACAGCTGGACATGCCTTACAATCTATTGCATTTAGATAGTATTGTACATAGAACTAAATTTGTGTAAACTCACATATGATCCAGTGCATTCATAACATTTGAATGAAACATTGGATAAGTGGACATTTTGTTATACCTTGCCTTGCATGTTAAAATGTGATTACGCAACCAGCGTTTGTGTAGTACATTTGATATGTAATGTCCTATCAATTCATATTTTGCCAGGCAAAGACCATATTTAACACTGAAAAACACAACCTACAATCTCTTCTTAAGTGTAATTTCTTTTCATTTTATTTGATCTTCGTAGACTCCAAAATCAGATTGCAGTAGAGTAGCATGTGTAATAGGCATCCAGACTGGGTATGATAGAACTGCATGAGACATTGGGTACAATAGAAAAATGTGACTGGGTTGAGGCAACTTGTTGGCGGCTGAATGCTGGGGAATTGAACTGTGCATACTGGACTGCTGGTTTCACTCTGGCATTGGGGTTGCTCACTGACCAGTAGTTGCAAAAACATGATTCCCGAATCTGAACACGGAAAAGGCACACACACACACACTCCTGCACACACACACACACACTCCTGCACACACACACACACACCACACACACTCCTACACACACACACACTCCTACACACACACACACTCCTACACACACACACACACTCCTACACACACACTCCTAAAGCTGTCCATACATGGTTAATTTTTTTTCCTTCAGCCAGATTTTTTCATCCACGCAAATGAGGTGGATGGAGAAATCCAGCCCCCCTCATCCCTACCATTGTTAAAATATACTGGTCAGTGGCTACGGCTTCATGTCCACAGAAGTAGAATAAGCAATCCTCTTCTGTTGAGCAGGGGAGCCCACACACTGATCGAAATTCAGCAGTCCCTGCTACATTGGCCAAATTTCGATAACTGTACGGCTAGTTTAACAATTATAGTGTAAGAATTCTGCTCTCCAGTAGACAGTGTGTGTGTAAACCAGTTTTTCAAACACAATTGTTGCTTTCTCTAGCAGATAAAATGTTAGTTAAGCCAGTTTCCACCTATGAGATCAGTGTAGAAACGTTCAATAGCAAACTCCTTCTGTCTCTGAATTTTGTGCTTGCTGTAGAGTAATAAAACATATTTCTTTTATATTTTACAGAAATGTTGAATTTATATCGCCCGATGCCCAGGACATATACAGTGGGGCAAAAAAGTATTTAGTCAGCCACAAATTGTGCAAGTTCTCCCACTTAAAAAGATGAGAGAGGCCTGTAATTGGCATCATAGGTAGACCTCAACTATGAGAGACAAAATGAGAAACAAAATACAGACAATCACATTGGCTGATTTGGAAAGAATTTATTTGCAAATTATGGTGGAATATAAGTCTTTGGTCAATATCAAAAGTTCATCTCAATACTTTGTTATATATCCTTTGTTGGCAATAACAGAGGTCAAACGTTTCCTGTAAGTCTTCACAAGGTTGGCGCACACTGTTGCTGGTATGTTGGCCCATTCCTCCATGCAGATTTTCTTTAGAGCAGTGATGTTTTGGGGCTGTCACTGGGCAACACAGACTTTCAACTCCCTCCAAAGGTTTTCTATGGGGTTGAGATCTGGAGACTGGCTAGGCCACTCCAGGACCTTGAAATGCTTCTTACGAAGCCACTCCTTCGTTGCCCGGGTGGTATATTTGGGATCATTGTCATGTTGGAAGACCCAGCCACGTTTCATCTTCATAGCCCTTGCTGATGGAAGGAGGTTTGCACTCAAAATCTCATGATACATGGCCCCATTCATTCTGTCCTGTACATGGATCAGTCGTCCTGGTCCATTTGCGGAGAAACAGCCCCAAAGCATGATGTTGCCACCCCCATGCTTCACAGTAGGTATGGTGTTCTTTGGATGCAACTCAGCATTCTCTCTCCTCCAAACACGACGAGTTGTGTTTCTACCAAACAGTTCTATTTTGGTTTCATCTGACCATATGACATTCTCCCAATCCTCTTCTGGATCATTCAAATGCTCTCTATCAAACCTCAGACGGGCCCGGACATGTACTGGCTTAAGCAGGGGGACATGTCTGGCACTGCAGGATCTGAGTCCCTGGTGGCGTAGTGTGTTACTGATGGTAGCCTTTGTTACGTTGGTCCCAGCTCTCTGCAGGTCATTCACCCCCCCCCCCCCCCCCCCCCCCCCCGTGTGGTCCTGGGATTTTTTTGCTCACCGTTCTTGTGATCATTTTGACCCCACGGGGTGAGATCTTGCGTGTAGCCCCAGATCGAGGGAGATTATCAGTGGTCTTGTATGTCTTCCATTTTCTAATTATTGCTCCCACAGTTGATTTGTTCACACCAAGCTGCTTGCCTATTGCAGATTCAGTCTTCCCAGCCTGGTGCAGGTCTACAATTTTGTTTCTGGTGTCCTTTGACAGCTCTTGGTCTTCACCATAGTGGATTTTGGAGTGTGACTGTTTGAGGTTGTGGACAGGTGTCTTTTATACTGATAACAAGTTCAAACAGGTGCCATTGATACAGGTAATGAGTGCAGGACAGAGGAGCCTCTTAAAGAAGAAGGCTTGCTTGTTTGTAGGTGACCAAATACTTATTTTCCACCATAATTTGCAAATAAATTCTTTCCAAATCAGCCAATGTGATTGTCTGTATTTTGTTTCTCATTTTGTCTCTCATAGTTGAGGTCTACCTATGATGCCAATTACAGGCCTCTCTCATCTTTTTAAGTGGGAGAACTTGCACAATTGGTGGCTGACTAAATACTTTTTTGCCCCACTGTAGTTCCAGGTGCCGGGCAGGTATTTTTTTTTTTTTTTTACCTTTAGCCCTGCTGCGGGCAAGCAGCAGGGCTCATCTGTCTGGGTAAAGCATTCAGGCAGCAGTGCTGCTGCCAGATTGCTTTCAGACAGCCCACTATAGTGCCGGAATCCGCTGCTCCCCCCCCCCCCCCCCCCCACCCACTATGTGTCCCGGGCTCCGTGGGCCCGGAACCGGTTCAGCATGTGCCGTCGGCTAGAGGGGAGGGAGGAGAGCGGACACATCTGCTCCCCTCCATTTCGGTTCCCCGTTGACAGAT